GACCAAGGACGCTTGTAAGCATAGATGCACACCCTCCATAACAAGTAGGATCGTGATTTTGCCCGGTTAGTAGCCGAAATCCCAAATAATAACATACACACGCGCAAAACTGAATGTTGACACGCAAAAATGCTAACCACAGCTCAACTGTTGTGCATCCGAGTCCCTGAGTATGTCTTAAGTTAGTTTGATGCCTGTATCTTCGAGAGCCGTCCCACCAAAGCGGACCGACAGTCAGGTTGCTGACTCAAGCGACGAGCAATTGCTAGGAGGCTGGACGGACTAAAGGACTGTCGGCTCGAGTGGGGATGAGCGGGTTGTGTTCTCCCGGGAATGCATGCATACCACAATGTGTCTGGGGTGTGTAGAAAGGGGGAGAGAGAGAGGAGAGAGGGGAAGAGAAAGAGACTGAGGAAAGAGTATTGGGTGGGTGATAAAGGTGAGAGGATGGACTGTTTCAGAGGCTTCCAGTAGAGGCAACGTTGATTGTGATAAAATTGGCGATAACGTAAGCCTTGCTTCCAGTGAACTGGGCCTCTTGAAGGCAAATCGTGTAGTTTGCAGCAGCAGCAGAAACAACTGCAGCACTCATTTGATTGCTTCCTCCCGTCGCTCCATCTCGTCCTTTCATGCCCGCCTCTCATTATGTCTCAACGAGAATGTATTTGCTTGAATATTTTTCGTATTCTCTGCCTGACTAGCAGTAAAGCGGCTCAGCCAGCAAGAGCCACTTGGGGCAGTTGATTAGCCGAGGTCTTGTTACTTTAAAGACAAGACGTGCCTGTCCTTCTTCCTTGTCTCTAACCCCATCTCTCTGCCCTTGCTTATACTTCTCCTCCCAACTCTTTTGCTCTATCGCTCTTAAGCACACATACACATCGACTCATCAAAGTCCGGTTCTACCAAAAAGCAAACGCACAAATTCCCTTGAATGCAGCATGTCTGGGAAAAGAAGAATAAGGACTAAATCAGGCAACAAGTAAAAAATGCGCGAAAAATTCGCTTTTCTCCTTTTTTACATTTAACGCTTTTTGATTACTTTGGACTTAGCATCCAAATCAATGATAGCTTTCAAGCTAGACGTAATTGAGTTGGAGTATGTAGAGAAAAAGCCACAAAAAGAGGACAAATGGTATTGCTTCGCCACCTTCAAATTTACTTCGCAATCAGGGATAATATTTTTAGAAATGGATTGATTTCGTTGTCGCAACTTGGTCTTGTTGTCA